GGTCGGGCAGGGGGGTGAGGATCTGGGTCAGGCACCGGGGACGGGCGCGGGGTGAGGATCAGGGCCAGGCACCAGGGTCGGGCAGGGGGGTGAGGATCTGGGTCAGGCACCGGGGACGGGCGCGGGGTGAGGATCAGGGCCAGGCACCAGGGTCGGGCAGGGGGGTGAGGATCTGGGTCAGGCACCGGGGACGGGCGCGGGGGTGAGGATCGGGGTCAAGCACCGGGGTCGGGCAGGGGGTGAGGATCGGGGTCAGGCACCAGGGTCGGGCAGGGGGGTGAGGATCGGGGTCAGGCACCAGGGTCGGGCGGGGGGTGAGGATCGGGGCTGAGCAGCAAGCGTCTCTGGAAGAGTCAGGGATGGAGGTGGGGAGGGGAACGCAGCACTTTGCAGCGCTCAGCGCCGGTGATGTTGCAAGCTGACTTTGTGGCAGTCTCTGAGGGAGGCTGCTAAGGTGGATTTCCTTGGAGTTGAGTTCCCGCATCTCGTAAGCGCACGAGGCTGGGTTCCTCCAGCCCCAGAATCAGACGCACACACATTAACAGAGCGCGTCTGAGCGGACCGAGTCGAACAGCACTCCCAAGCTGACCCCTTATATGCCCCAGGTTCAGCACGTCCCTATCCCCACTGTCACGTTACAGTTGTTCTGGCAGTAACCCACTGGATGAGCGAACCCCACGGGATTTTTGGATCTTTAGCTTAGGTACGACGAGCGTTGTGCAGAGCAAATGGGGAAGCCAAAAACACAAAAGGGAGAGAGAGAGGGAGGGAGGGAAGCAACCAGCTTAACCATGAAAGTTATTTATTGCCCGGTAATAACAGTACAAGGGGAGCCAAACAAACAAAGCAGTGATAATATTCAATCTAACTTACATTTGATTATAAAAGTCAGGTTTAGAAAACTAGAACTGATCACACAAGTCAGGGTCAGAAGGCTACACCGAGAGAGAGAGAGCTGGGTTCCCACCACTCCGTGAAGTGGGTCCTGGGTTCTGGGTCTGGTTCTGCTCAAGATCTTCAGCAATGATTTAGCTAATGGCACAGAGAGGACACTGATCAAGTTTGCGGACGATACCAAGCTGGGAGGGGTTGCAAGTGCTTTGGAGGATAGGATTAAAATTCAAAATGATCTGGACAAACTGGAGAAACGGTGCGAAGTAAATAGGATGAAATTCAATAAGGACAAATGGAAAGTACTCCATTTAGGAAGGAACAATCAGTTGCACACGTACAAAATGGGAAATGACTGCATAGGAAGGAGTACAGC